CCTCTCTCTCTCTTTCCTTTTTTTTAATTAGCATTTGTTGGAATTTATTCCAATCTCCTAATCTTCCGTACAGCAACATTTGATTTGCATAACCAACCCTCATAAAAATGGCTGCTAGTTTATTAAAAAATTAAATTGCTGTCATCTCGGGCTGTGAATTAGGAGACATCGGCATTTTTTATTGCTAAGAGTCAATTGATCCGCCTTGATGAATGTGGGGAAAGGGTCCATCCCGAAGGATGTCAAGGTCTGCTGTCTCCCTGAGAAGGATTCTCCCATACTGAGTTACTTATGTCTAGAGTGCTTTGGGACCTCGATGGGTCCAGGGTTGAAGGGCTCTAAGTCTGATCCAATACTTGTTGGAGGTCAAACAAGTCTTTGGGACCTGCACTCTGGCCTTATACTGTGCTAACATGGCCTCTCTCAGCTGCAATTCCAAGCTGCTCCCAAAGGAAGAGGAGCCTATACTTCACAGCGGTGAGCCCCGGACTGTGGTCTTCATGCATTCTGGAGGTCCAAAGAAACGCCCCTAGTGGCTGGAAGATGAGCCTTGGGTTGGTTGGCCAAGAGACGGGCTCAGAGGAGACGACTGAGTCCTCATTGCTTCCCTTTTTTGTGAATGAGGAAAAAGTGCTTTTCTTCTGAAGTTTGCGATTAAGGAAATTTCCAAGTTCAAAGAAGAGGAGATGGCACATAATGCTACTCTAGGAAACAGAACTTTGACCCCTCTCTGCGTGCGCAGAGTCCAGGCCAGGTCCCACTGGGAGTGTCCTTCTCCAGCTTGACCTCCAGGCCTTCTGGCTTTAGGAAAAGTTTCTAGAGCCCGTCCTGGAGTGCTAGGAGCAATTAAGTCTCCTCAGGCTCAGGAGTACAACAAGAGCATGCGCGTACTTCCTGCAGGCTGTCAGGACCCCCAAGAGGGCCCTGTGTGGCCTGGGAGGGATTGGCATGACAGCTCCAGCTGGCACCGGTCAGAAGGAGGAAGACAGGAGGCCTGCTTCTAGCTGAGTAATCCTGGGTGGTAGCCCGCACGCAGCCTTGCCTGTATCAGGTAAGGGGTTGGGTGCCAAATGCCTGGCCATCTTGAGGTCTGCTCCTGGCTGGGATGGTGGGGGCCCATTTCCGAAGAAAGGGGTGGGGTCTGAGAGGGAGGCATTGAGACACCCGATTAAAGTGTGGGCGGACTATTTTCTCTGTGGGTGTGGAGGGAGGGAGGGCAGGTGCAGCACTGGCCTGAATACCTTCAAAACTTTGCCCAGCAGGGGGTGTCCACCCTTCCTGGGACAGAGAGGTCCTGAGACTCCACATTCCATTAGCCAAGATTAACCTGTCAGGACGGTCTAAAACTCTGTCAAGGTCCCCTCTCCACAGTAACATACTTTCCTAAAGCCAGCCACATGTCATTCCCCACACTGCTGCCTCCCTTTGACCTCAGAGGGTCAGATGTCAGTCCTGACTCCCAAGGGATGAACTGTGACTTTGGGCCTATCATGAACAGCAAGTCTAACACCAGCCCTACATCTACCTATACCATTTTCCTTCCCTAAATGAAGAAGTGCTCAGAGGTCAGTCCGATGAGTGGTCAGCATGGTTATTTCTTTGAAGATGGGTGTGGCTTTGGACAACCAAGGGTGTGAGGTCCTAGTCAAAACTTGGTTTTAATAGAGAGGGCTGGTAGAAACCTAAAGAGTGTAACAAGCCTCATTTCAGTTCAGGCTGGAAGCCCAGATGGGAACAGAACTATTGAAAAAAATTAGATCAAAACCAGTCAAACACCAATTCTCAGGATAAACTCGGCCCCAGGCCAACAGTGCACTACCTGGAGCAAGACCCAGTCCATACCAGGCTCCAGACCCACATGCCTAACTTAGTCATTGGTCTCCTCCATCTCCACCTCCCAGGGTGGGGGCTAAAAGGGGCTGGGAGAGAGTCCTGGGCCCCTCACTTGAACTGATAACAGCCGCCTCAGCCCACAGATTCTCAGGTGAAAAACACTCATTAGCCCATATAAGCACTTGATCATCCGACACAGCCTTGTCCAAATAAATTAAATTTTTACCTTGAGACAGTCGCCCGAAACCAGACTACCATTTCCAACAGGACGCTGCTTTCAAAAAACTAAACACCCCTAAAAAATAAAACACACACCCTAGCCAACAACAACATTTTACAGAGGGGAAAAATGTTATATATGTCAAAAACACGGGGCCACACAAAAAAAGGAGAACAAAAACCCCATAAAAACCCCTAAACTCCTCTCTCTGATGCCCCCTGTCCTCTCGGTTCTTTCATAATGAAAGCATCAAATTAGTCACAGTCACTAAGCAAGTAGCAAATAATAATATCGCCATCCAGAAAGCTGGGCAAAGCAGAGACGGCAGCTCCGACCTCGCGCCGGCCGCACCCCGCTCAGCTGCGAGCTCATTGGGCTAAAAATAATAACTTCCTAAAAGGAACCGAAAGAAAAGTGGAAAGAGCCTCCCGTGGGTTCTCACGGCCGTACCTGTTCCAAGATCCATTCTCGCTCCTTGTCCCAAACTCTTCGAGGAACGCCACGAAAAGAAGAAGAGGGGAGAAAGAATCTGTTTAGTGTCTCGCAGGCCCGGCCCGCCCGCCGCTGTCCCTCCCCGGTGGCCGGGCGCATCCGGCTGGGGGGCCGGGCGGCGGGCCGGGCGGGCGGGCGGGCGGCGGGGGAAAGTTTCTGCCCTCCCGCCCGCTCTCACGCTCCGGCCGCAAGCTCCGGCAGCTCCCGAGTTCCTTAAACTAAAACAGAAACTGCCCGTGACCGTGGCCCGACGGGGACCTAGCGCGAGGCGAGGGGCCCCCGCCCCGTCGCCGCCCCGCGCGGGGTCGCGAGCGCCCGGCCCGGCCCTCCCGCCGCTCCCGGTACTCACCATAGTCGAGAGTCGAAAGCCGAATTCATTAATTAATCAACTTTCATAATACTTAATTAATGCTAATTGCAACTGATTACTCCCGAATAACAAGTTGTTTTAAAACCTGATGTCATTGCTCTGACGGTAACACTCAGGTAACAGTTTGGCAGGAGGAGAGGGCGGCGGGGCGCCGGGCGCTGCCAGGCGCGAGGTGATTGAGGGGGCTCGGTACCGCCCTCGCCGGGTGCGCGGCTCCGGCAGGTGAAAGATCAAGACTCGGCCGCCTGCGCCCGGCGCCCGCCGCCTCGCCGCGGAGCTGGGGTGAATGGCGCGCGCTCGCCCGCCGCGCTCGCTCCTCGCTCTCGCGCCGCGCACTCTGCGCACCGGCTCGGGCGGGCGGGCCGGCTGCCTTATTGCTCAGTGACTCCCCAAACTTTGACTTCAGGAGGAGGGAGGCGGGGACTCTACGCTCGGGGCCGCGTGGGAGGAGGCTGGTGTGTGTGTGTGTGTGTGTGTGTGGTGTGTGTGTGTGCGTGTGCGTGTGTGTGTTGGCGGTGGGGGGTAGGAAGCGTGTCGAGCGGCTAGAGCGAGGCGCGGGGATTGGCGCTCGCGCACACGCACCAACTCTGCCGGCCGCCGCCGCGGGCGCGCGCGCACTCGCGCGCTCCCCTCCGCCGCTCCGGACCCGAAGCGCGATGAAGGGCCGCGCGCGCCCCCCTCACGCGCCACCGCCACGCGCGCCCGCAAACTTTTTTCGCGAGGCCGGCGCAGGTCGAGGGGGGGGTGTCACAGGGCCGCCAACCAGGCAGCGCGCTCTGGCGCTCCCCTTCGCGATGCCGGATGGCTCGGAGCTTCTGAGGTGTCAAGGGGTTTTTGGTTTTCCTTCTCACACTCCCGGTTCACATTTTTGTTGTGGCTTCTTTTGAGTTCGAGGAAGAAAGGAGTCCTGGCGGCGGAGTTTGGGTGTGTCGGGAACTCGCACGTCAGCCTGCGCTCCCCGCACGCACCCCCGCGGCGCCGGCCAGCGCTCTTGGAGCGCCTCCTGGGACTCACTCTGGGGTTTCCACTGCTTCACTTTGGTTTTTGCCCTTAAAATGGGTCTCGGTGGCCTGCATGGCCGCCGCGGCCTCCGGCCTTTCTTCTTCCTCCTACTCGCAGTTTGGGCCACGGCCCCACATCCCGACACACCCGCTTCTTCCTCACAGTCCCTCGCAGCCTTTTCTCGCCCATTCCAAAGCACCAATACGCGCCATTACTTAGGCTTCCTCCTACCTGGTCCTTGGGCCGCTGCGCACAGAACATAAGGCACCCTCAACTAGGTGCAGCGTCCTGCACTGCTCCCCAGTATACCGGGGTCAGGCCCTGCTCCCTCTGACATCGGTCTCATTTCCTGTCTGCCAGCTCAGGACTGGACCAAGCGCTGTGTTGTCTCTTGACGTTCTTTTCTCCTAGAGAGTTTGGTGGGTCTCAGCCATGGTCCGCACAGATCCCGACGTCCGTGCTCAGCATCCTTGTTAATTGACCAAGTCACATTGGCCGAGGGGCTCAGGAAAAGCGCCCTGTCGGAGCAGGGCTATTGGCAGCTTTGCTGAAGGCAAGATTCTCCCACTGTCAGCAGCTCTCTTTCTCTCCATAGCTTATTACTTGCTCTCTCCTACCATCTTTCACTCCTGTTTAGGAGAGGGCCTACTGCCTTCCATGAGGGGAAGAGAACCAGGCCCTGGTCTGGGCAGCGTTTGACAAAATGGGCTGGCCTATTTTTGCAATATTATTTTGCAAAGGGAGGGCCAAGGAGGCCTTGGGGCAAGACGTCAAGGGAGTTAACAATCTACTCTTTCTCCTACTTTCCCTTATTTTTCTTTTTTATTTATTTGGTTCTTTAGTTTATAATGGCTCATGGAGGTGTGACATCCCTCCCTGATGCCTTTGGAATCCCCATTCCTGGCTGTCACATACCTTCGGCCTGTCATCCCTATGTACAAAGCAGCGGGAGAGCTCAGTTTTAACCGAATGTCCCCTGGACTTGAAACCATGAATAAGGGGACAGAGTTTTTTTTAAAACCAGTGCTCCAAAGGCTGGCCAGGGAAACCAGCAGGGGGATATGTGCTCTGTTCCCCTGGATCTCAGAGAGGCTCTTGTCTCCAGGATGCTCAGGGACACACGCCTCTGTGGGTCTGCTACGCAGGACTTCCAAGCAAAGATTCTGCCTTTTGCAGCTTGGCTTGTATCAAGGTGCGGCAATCTAACACCCGTCTTGGCCTTTGCTTTTCTGTCTTGGGAACAGGTAATAGAAACGTTTTGATGCCAGTTGTGGCTGGATGACTTCTGGGTATCAGTTTGAAGATGTCTATGCAGACAGAGCTCCCCTGATAGGGAACACAAGACTCTGGTTGGCTTTGAATGCCCTCTGGGCTTGTGTTGAGGTGGTCCAGGCTGATCTGAGGAGAGCTGGAGACAGAAGTCGCTCTCTAGTTACCTAGGTAGTGCTAACAATTGGACCCATAATTTGTAGCCTCTGCTGGGCGAATGAAGGAATGGCTGACAGGGCAGGAAATGGAGAGCGCTGGAAGGAGCAGCACATTAGGGCCATCTAGAAAGGCTGCACACTGGTAGGGAGCCTGGTGAAGAGAAGGTGTGGGCTCTGGAGCGCGTGGCACATCAGCTAAGTATGCGATAGGCCTGCCAAGGACAGACTTTGCTGGATAGAGGAATCAATAACTAAGGCCGACTTGGAGTGTTAGGAATTTTGAGGTTAAGCCGAAAAACGAAGTGTAAGGCCATGGAGCACAAGGCTGAGGCTGTGGTGACCGGAATGGTACAGACTCTCGCTCTGTCTAGCGTGGTATGCTCGCAACAAGGAAGAAGCAGCTGGAGCTCAAGTGTCTCTTAGGAACTAAGGCCCTCTTTTGCCTTGATGACCTGACATGGAGAGCCTGAACAGCACCATGCCTACAACTGGGGGATGAAACACCCATGTCCATAATTCTCTATGCTCAGACTCTGGGCCCGAGCCTCCGGCTCGTGCTGGGACCAGTCCCAAAATAAAATGCAGAGTGGAAACTCCAAGTAAACGCACCACCCTTGGAAAGCCCACACTGTGCCCTCTCCTAGTCACACTGCCACGCTGGTTCCGTTCCAACCCCCATGTGGCATCATTCTTTTCTCCGAGCCTGGGCCTCTCACTCCGGCTGTTTACACACCAGGTATCTCATGCTTTATCTGCTCTCATTTTGAATTTGTAACTTTCACATAAACTTGAACAAAGCTCCTTTTGTTCCTGCACCCCACCCCAGGATCCCAATAAACTGGTTCCCTCTGAGGCGACTGGGCCAGGGCACAGAAGCCTTGGCCAAAGGACTGCGTGTGCATGTGAGCAAGCATGTTCGCACCTGTGAGGGAATCCGTGTGTTTGCGTGTGAGTGTGCTCCCTAGGCCGATGGAGGGAGGGGGTCAGGGAGAGCAGAAGTGAGCAGTGTGGACAGGAAGCATTGGGGGTGGGCACAGGAGGGCAGAGCTGAGGCCCCACAGTCTGGGCCTGGACATAGGCACGGATTCAGCCAGCAGGCGGCTGAGATTGTGGGCCATAGACAAATAGATGTCAGGGTAGGGGGCAAATGAGGATGAAGAAGATATAAAGGGGAAGAGAGTGGCAGGGTGGGTGGCGAAGAGAGGGGCTGAGGCCACGCTAAGTGTAAGGCAGACACAGGGATCGCATTATGGCAGGATAGGGGCTGGCACAGCCGCACGCTCGGCCCGTAATCCTGTTAGCCAGCAATCTCCATTCCGAAAGAGCTTCATTTCTTTGTGAATATTTGTAAACTAGATATCTAATGGAAAATTATAGGAAAATTATAGTGAAATTCATGACGGAGAAATCCGATTATCCCTAATTCAATTATGCCATCTTAGCCCACACAGCACATTTCCCATTTTTTTCCCATAAATACCGATGCCAGGGGTCCCGGTAATCAAATAAAATTGAAAATCATCTTCCCATTAAATTCAATTAGCCGCAATTTCTAAAGCCTATCAGAGATTTTAATTACTAAATTATAAAATTCTCCAATGCTAAATTGAAACCAAAAAAATTGCACATCCTTATATTTCAGAGAAAAAAAAAAAAAAAGGCCAGCAAAATCCTTGAAAAATGCCCTCCTCTCTATGTCCAGATCCAAAGCAGCTTCCCCACTTGGAGGGACTTCTCAATTGCTGCTTCCCTGCTCAGCTGCGATGAAAGGGGAAGAGGGGCAGAGGAGAGGGCCCTGGCAGGGGAGGGGCCGAGGTATATTAGTCTAACAGAGGGGTGAACCACACCCCTAACCCCCACCGACATGGGCCCACTGGCCTTCCTCACTGTCCTGGCTCCTGAGATGTCCTCAGATCTGTCCTCCACTGGGAGGTCTCTAATTCTCAGTGCTACCTTCTTGGCCTGTGAGCTGAGCTTGGGCTCAGGCATTAGCTTGGCTTCAGGGCTCTGTGCAGTTCCAGGGCAGCTGACCAGAAACAGTCAGCTCCTCACCCAAGCCCCAGCTCCCTGACCACTCTGTTGGGCCTTATGGGTCAGAGATGGAAACAGCAAGAGCCTAGTGTTGAGGGTAGACAGATACCATGGATGGTTATGTGGCCCAGAGTCTTCTGGGTATTCCCAGGGGCTATAGGTCTT